GGCAAAAGTTATTTTGATTTTCTGCAGAATACTAATTGTTTGGAAATCTACCAGTTAATCTAAGTAATCACATGAATTTTATGCATGACGGAGCACCATCTCACTTCAGTCACAATAATTTATGGGAACATTTAAATGATAAGTACCTAGACCAGGGGTCGGCAAGTAATTTTAGGTGGGGTCCGGATACTTTTGAAAATTTTTAAGGAGGTCAAAAAAAAATTCATATTACGTATATTTTAGTTTTAATTTGGACTCAAATTTAATCTGCTTACTAACCATTAAGAACTCACACACTCACACAATTGTAAAATACTAGAAAAAATGATAAGATTGGCACTTAAACGTAAAAAACATTTTTTAAATATTTTATTTGAGTAATTTATACTTTCAAAAAATTTTTTGCGGTCCAGTAATTTACTTTCCGCGGTCCAGACCTGAACCGCGGTCCGCCAGTTGCCGACCCTTGACCTAGACGGATGGATAGACAGGGGAGACGACGCTTCAATTCACTGGCCACCACGTTCACCTGACTTAATTCCGTGTGATCCTTTTATTTGATGAGCCTTGAAACAGAAAGTGCACTCTGGGAATATTGGTATCGAGGGATAACAGGATTGAAAATGCTGTTCACAGTTTGGAGTATGGAGGAATACTACGAAAAGTGCGTTTAAATTGGGACACCCTGTATATCCATTTTATGTTAGTTATGATGGAAAATACTCCGGTAGTAATCGGTACAATCAGTGGAGACTTTCGTTTCTATTAAAGATATCTGTTTACAGACTGTTAACTGGCTTGTAGATCTGCCCACATACTCATATCTTCGCCATGGCAACATCTCGGCAGTTAAAACTTGGCCCGCTTAATCTATCGCAAAGTCGAAACTGCTTATGCAGCAGACGTATCGGATTCTAATCCATCACGGCAGGAATCCTCTATTTACACGAAATGACAACCCCGATATGCAAAACGTCTTGAGAGTATAATCTCTCGGGGTTTCCATGGCATCATCGTTTCTGTTTGTAACTTTGCCAGTTAGGCAGCTGGTTCATTATCGTCTAATGAAAATTCACTTACGCCGCACCCGGTTTTTTTTATTATATCCTCCGTAAGGAGGATCTAGCTATATTAAATTCCAAAAGAGGACGGGATAACATATAAGAGTATATAAGAACAAAGTGGCTGTTATAAACATACAAGCATAACGGTAGAAAGATGTAGCTTGTAGATATGACTCATATACAGGGTGTACCTTTGAGTGAGGTAAATTTTTTAATAAATTCCTTCTCGTTTGTTCTGAAAAAGAAAACAGTGCCTACCAGTAATTAGCGAGACGTAAATCAGAGACGAAACAAGTTAAAGTGGAACTAAAAATTCGAATTTCTTGGGCGGCGAGGAAAAGAAAGCGCAATTCTTTCCTCTTTCCGAAAGGGCCCCTCTTTATGCAGAGATTAAAAGATAGTGCGCGCTGTTAACACTATTTTAAGCGCAGTAGAGTGTATAAATGTCTCCTTTGTTAAGATAACTTTTTTACATGGATTTCAGAGGAGCGCATTCAAACGACGTGCTCAGCCGAAAGAGCCAGAGTTCACCTTATTATGTGTCTGTCTCTCTTCCGTCCTCGTGCTTTTTTTCTTTCGCTGCAGCCACACCAAGCCGCTCGTCGGTTGAAGTTGATCTCCTTTTCAAATTGTCTGCAAAGGAATATTGACAAGCTGTTATTTGTATTTGGCCACTTAAGACGAACACTGAAAGCTGGTTGGTTAAAATTAAACAAAAAAAAATTAAAAATAAATATGCCAGACATTTTCTTTCTTCATTACCTATTCCAATATATAACAACACAAATATCTAAAAAATTATATCAACGATGAAAACTATTGTTGATAATATCTCTACATTTCAGTATCGGTAGCTTTTATTGCTTTAAGGAGGTATATCGGGTTTACTCAAATGCACAGATGTACTTGAAATTTATATAGTGCTCCCTCTGTGCGTCATATTTTTTTAATTTTTTTTTGATTCTAGATTTTGAGATATTGTTGTTGAAAGTTGTTCATTTTAACATAAGTTTATATGGCGAAGATGGACGGTGCGGCTCTTTTTTTGCCCATAACTGAGAAAAAAATGTAGAAATTGTGAAACATCACTTTTCCATAGGTAGTATTAGGTAGTATTAGTATTATTTTAATTTTTGATGTAAAACTAATGCAAGATTTGAACACAGTACAGCTGTATTAATTAGAAACAGAAACCAATAATTGCATTTCTGTCTGACTTGAGGATTAATGTGGCAACGTCGCAATCAGCTGACAGCAAGGAAGGAATACATTTGAAAGACTTGATAAAAACGAAATCGATTTCAAACATATACATTTTTCCTAAATCCCATGAACATTATTATCAACAATAAATTATTCACAACAGATGATTTTTTGTAATGTTTATAAAAAACTAGATTAATTAAAAAAGACTAGGAAGCTGTGATATATTTATTGGAATAAAAAATACAGTTAATAAATCCTTTTAATATATTTAATGGTTTATAAAAACATCGTAATCATTACCCAGCAACATTTAGGGTAACATAAAGTTTTCTTCACTTGATTAATATAATTAGTAATACTTGAGATAAAAGCATTTGGACGGAATAACAAAGGAACATAAATATTTCTCAGCAAACTTTATATCTAAAAAATTAGTTATAGTTGCAAAACTTTTGTAACATTACTAAAATAGAGATTAAAAACACCAACAGTGAGTAATAATGTAATTTCTATCACAGAACCTTCAAAATTGCATCCAACATTTTCTTTGACTTGGACGAGAGATGGGCGCGAGTGTCATTTAATTTCTTTAGTACTAAATTAACACAATTCTCGTTGTTTTACCAGTTTACATGATTTACGGATTTTAAATAAAGGATATAAATCATCGCGAGGATAATACGATATATTTGCTATATATAATAATTATATTTTACATAGTTATCTTTACCCGAATTTGACGCGCAATATCTCCGATGTTCGAGGTCTGTTTGTAGGTTCGCAGTGTGTACAACTGCTAGTTAATTATTAGCGCTGTTGCCACATCTACATAGTCTTTATACGTTCATTAAATATAATTTAAAACTACTTAAATATGATATTTTCGTGTTGTTAATTAGTCAATATGTATGTTATGTGCATATGAGTAGATTTCTTTGCTATATAGATAATGTTTATCGCAAATAATTTCAATAGAATTTAATTTTTTCAAATTGGCAGCGGGTCTCATAAGAAAAGCATAGGACCCCCCCTCCTGCGCTCCTCACTTCCCTCAAACCCCGATATACCTCCTTAACTCTAGTCAAAAGCAACATATCACTTTCCCTGAATCTGACCTCAGACCACTTAAAACTTACCATCCCATGAGCTCGCCGTCTGCCAGTAGGCCTGTTAACCCGCCCAGTAATCCAGTTATTGTTAAATTTAGCGTGCTTTTCAGTTTCAAACAATCATCGTCCCGTGGAGATTTTCTCATCTCTGAGGCATCAAAGAAGGGAGCGTCATAAAAACATCGGTGTTTGGATAGAGCGGCAAGAAAGGGCGGTGGGTTCGAGGGGATGCGGGATGTAAATCGATTCTTTTCTTTTAAGCGTAATTTCGCCTCACCCAGACAGGTCCTTTGTTTGATGTTGTAAATTGACAAAAAATCAAATGTCTTTTAATGAATGCATTTTTGAAGCAGTCTTGGTTCTGATCTTTGCAAAAAGTTTAACTATCTTTCCATTTTTCTAGCGACCGACCTTATAGTTATTTTTTGTTTGGTTAGCTTTTTATTCTATTCAGGGCAGTTTTTTCGCAACTATGACTTAAATCAATGTATGTTATTCACTTAAGCATACGTTTTTTATGATACAAATATAGATTTAATTGTCAATACTACCAAAAAAGCAATAATAATAAATCTACAAATTTCAGGAAACAATGTTAGTAAATTGCCCTGTGCAAATCTCTGCATACGCTCAACTAATAGGTAGGGCACATGATCTTGTCTTGCCTTCAACAATGCCACAAACATAATTCTGAGCAACTGGATATAATAGCATACACATCTTATTCGTCGGTTAAACTGTCTTCATTGTAACGGAGAAATATTTTTACTAAAGGCCCCTATTTCATTTGTTCTTAAACAAATGACATTCAAGGGCGGCGCCTGTAGGGGTCCCCCACGTATGTGGCTTTTGTTTTATTCTCGGTGGGGACATTTATCGATATTATTTTTGCCATATTCAAACAAATCCTTCAATATATTAATATTCCCGGTTGGGCGATGTTTTAAAAACAAACCAGTGGGCGCAAACCGTGACCGCCCCTCACCTCCCCTCCCGGATACACCAGAAGTCCATTATCGACCCCAACAAATCACAATCAGCCGGTGCGGCCGCTAAATTCCCTGCGAATATTTTAATTCGCACCGCTAAAAATGCATTAGCGATAATTTACGGCTCCCCCCCGCCGAATCTATGGCTCTATCCGAACTCCTTTATCCCAGATCATAATTTAGGCGGGACGGGAATTTGCATTTCCCTATCTTTGCCAAAACTTTTAATGGAATTGAAATGGTAATTTTACGACTTCGGCGTTTTGTTTTAATTTCGGTGTATGGCGATTAAGTGGGCGCTAGGAATATGAAGGTATTGCGTTAGGATGCAATCCGAAGCTAAGGGAGAAAGAAACGCGGTAAAAGCTTCAATTTTGCGGGTACTATTCCTACATCTGGATAACATTATGTACTACTCCGAGTATATCCCAGTGTAACCTACAACTCGTCAATGTTTGACTAGGTTATACCTTTTGGGTATTTGGCTAACTCTGTGGAGAAGGGAGTGGTTCTAGATGTTAACAGGGTGCCAGACAAATTTTCTATAGCCGTATAAATACCCTAATAGTTGACTGTCAACTTCCGAAAATAGTCAAAAAGAGGTCGACGATAAATAAAATACGATAATAGTACAACACAAGATAAATATATTTTATTTTACGTATTTACACTTATTGAGTTAATTGTATATTTACTGAATACTGTCTGAAAATTGAAATAGTATTTTGATTAATAGCAAAAGCAAATATTGAGACTAGCTACGCAAACGATTAGAGATTAGGGAGATAAAATCTATTTAAGCAAAATGCAAAAGACAGGCAATAGGCTTCGAAATGGCGTCGCTTGAGCTCAGGCGCATGCGCATAAATACACACAAGCAGGTGTATACCGTAAATAAGCAGATAAGTACCCCTAATTTCCGCAAGCGTATTACAAAATGCTGTCAATTAATCTAGTCAATAAAGCGGAAAAATAAGAGAAAATATATAAAAAAAAAAACAACAATGTAAATGTGCCAATATGGCCAATAAATAAAGAATATTAACAAAAGCGCAAACATGCAAACAATCGGATCTAAGCCAGTAAAGCTAAGCAAATAATAAATGTTACTAAGCAATAGCAAATTACCAATACTAATAATTTAATGTTACGATCAAAATTTAAGCATAGAGCAAAAAAAATAAAAGCGAAATGTTTGTTTCAAAAACTTGCGTGATATCCTTTATTATCCAAGAAATATGTCTGGTAGAGGATCTTCCATGGAACTGTACCAAAACTCCTATGGGATGACGAATGATGGTAGACGTGGTAGCACCGATTGCGTAATGCTTGGCTGAGACTGTCACAGGAGATATTTGAATACGTACAGGAACGTCAACAGTGTTCCAAATGCTGTTACGTAGAAGACCAGCTTCAAAAACAAAAGGAATCAAGCTTTCAGGAAATATTCCAAGAGTGTGTGGTCCCCAAAAAAAAACCCTAATGGAAAATTAAAAAAAGAACATTAATTTAATGCTATGGCGCAATACATATGATATATATGGTCACAACGTGACGTATTATTTTAACAAATTAATTTACCTAAATTTTTAGTAATAAAAATAAACTGGCAACGTCGCATGCCATTGCCTATATGGTTAAATTTTACTACAGCTACAAAAGTATAGAGCTTATTACAAAAGGCTAAATGTAAAACAAAAGAAAAATAACTATAATAAAAATACTTACCCTTAACTAAGGGGTTCTTTATAAAACTTGCCGCTTGTAGGCTATCTGCGTATGCGGACAGACGAATACGGACCTTATGGTATCTAATGATAAGGAAACAATTCTTACAATTTGCAATTTGAACTGAACTATTACTAAATATTATTGAATTACCGCTAAAAATGTACAATAACTAATAACTAATGCCTACCTCAATTCGTTTTCCTGGGGATACGATTTTCACACGGCGTGGTGTCAGTGATCCTTCATAAGAAGTCAGAATAAGGGGTTTACACCAAAAATACTATAATCCACAGCACTATATACCCCTAAATTCTTGATAAATGGCCACAAAAATTGCTCCTAATTAAAGATGATTTCAGAAATCATAGATTTTTCACTGGCCACCAATTCACACACACCCTCCAAAAAATCTAACCTTCTCCTGTCTTTCCACCCAGAAAACGCGCGGAAAAACCCCCCCTGGAAACTAATCATAGTGTGATTGGACAATAGCTCTGCCAATCACAGTCAAGCATGTCGGAAATAATTGAAAATATTGGTTTTTCCTGATACAACAATGCAACGGAAGGCTATAATACTATATTCTAAGTGTAAATTAACTAACTAAAATAAGACGATGTCATAATCGGGAGTTTTCAACATTAAAAATGCTATGCACAATCGGGCAACACTGTACCGCGCAGACTCTACTTGACTTAATTTAAGTCGATCAATAATCACGGAAGAAGAAGGAGACAATATGGCGAGATGTCAAATTTGAAATAAAATAAACAAGAATCAATGCCCAGTGGACTACATGAATTTTAAATTTAAGAAGCCTGTAAGAGATACACTTTAAGGTAAGCTACGTTAATTAATTGTTAGATACGTAAATAATCTCTGAACCATATCACGAAATGAATTAGGTTATACAAAATTTATATTTATAAACTATTATTTTAATCTTTATTTCAGGGTCCCAGCATTTTTGCGTTTCGAGATACCACTTGCCGCCTACAAAAACTCCAAGGAACGATAAACACTCCTGTCTACCGTTATAAAAAGGTTCGTTTTTCAAAATGTTATTTATTTTATTAATAAAATTACTTTTTAGCTAGGTATGCAAAGGGAATCTCTTCAAGGAAAACCCAATTGGTGGACTATACGAATATCCTTTTCCTTTTAACATAGAAGATCAAATCTTATCTATACAGTGTGATGTTAATTTTAGAGTGAAAACACAAATTTTAAATGGATAGAGATGTTTAAAGAAATAGGAAATAAAACCTTATAAATACTGAGTGTTTCAGTTTTCAGAATAATACAAGCCCTCTTTTAAGGTAAAAATTAAACGTTACACCAGGTTGTGTGAAATCGGTGACAGAGTTTACCAGAGTCGTTGAAGGTAAATGTTAAAGAGAAATTGACCTTGATCTTTTTTATTTTCGCTTTCATCGACGAAAAACTGATCGTGCTACAGCTTCTATTTTATTTTTGTCTTAAAGAGTGTTAAAAATTTGTCTCTCTTCTAAAATATTTGTATTTGTAACAGTACAAAGCTTTAGCATGACCACCAATAAAATTATGAGCGGATTGGTTCAGTGGATGGAGAATATTTCAAGTTATTTGAAAAAAAAAAAAAAAAATTTTTTGTCAATCATCATCATGATATTTTCTCCGAATCCGCACCAAAAAAAAGCTTCGGCAGCCAACAAATTTTAATTAACATTAACCATTTCTATGACCACGCTCATGTTTAATAAACAGCAAATTGAATCCTGTGTTTGCACAATAAACAAAATAGCTGCGCTGGCGGTTTAGAACCAACTAAATGAGATATACCGAATGATTGATTATTGACATTATGATATTGAAGGGATACTTTTGATAGCGCCCTTATGACTGTTTGCCACCTAAATATGTGTGGTCCCTCAGTTTGAGAGGTTCTGGATTTTAATTCGGGCACAAATAGCAAATAAAATAAACGATTACACAGTTTCCAGAAAGTAACGAGCGTTCAAAAAAAACGTGGTCAAGTTGGTCCTGAAAATTTGGACGTAGGGCGTAGCGTATAGCAAATGAACTTAAACGTCATCTGTCAAAGCGCTGTATCGCCGCTTTGTTATTGAAACTAACAGCTGCTATACAGCTCGTTGAGAAATGAGGTTAAGTTGGTCGCTATAAGCTACGCCCTACGTCCAATGTGTCAGAGTCAACTTCGACCACGTTTTTATTTGAACGCTCGTTACATATGAGCAAATGAACTAGAAAAATAAAGGGAAATGAAATGATTTGACAATTGCTCAGATTTCGGATAAAAAACAGCTTAATTTTTTGCAGTTAAAGTTACAAAATTGCCACATTGAGCGGATGGGATCAGAGAAAGGTGACCCACGTCGTGAACTTCCCAATTAAACCGCTACCATCGGTTAGATAAACTTTGTTGTTCCGCAGTCACCTCAGGGCTAATAAGTTTAACTTTATTCGAAAAGTTTATATAATATGGACTTTACAGTTTAATCTTTACGGCCGTAACTAGGGCCATAATATGGCGCATATTAAAATTTCGTAACGAAGCTCTATCCGAAACCAATGGGGAAAACGGTTAGGGTTTCATTTAAGTTTACCGTTGCAGCGAGGTGGATCCCCTTTATTACTGGACCGTTTTTATTGACTCCATCTGCATAATGTTCACTTCGTTATTGCTTGCCGGATTAACCTAGTACGAGACAGAGCCTGATGAACGTTCTGCCTGATAAAACATTTAAAATAATCAAAGGAGAGGTTCTCCTACCTCCTCATTAATACAGAAGCTTAAGCTGTAAAGATATCTTTAAGATTGTTGCATCCCCGTCCAATATCTTGCTCTTTGTACCTCTTTGTTCCATTTCTTCACTACTACTTTCAAGTTGAGCTTATTTGGGTTCAATTTTAATTGTATTAACAGGTGATTGGTTTGTCCTTGTAATGAAATTTTTACTACAAACGTATTTTGTTCAAAATTCCGTGATTCTTAACTATGTCAGACCTACAACTGATGATAATCTGCTGCTTCATCAGATTTTTATTTGTCTTCGACGCTCATACTGTCTGTCAAAGCTCCTAGTTCTTGTGCATATGTTATCCTTCTTCAAGGACCGAATCATAGAGGTTTCTTTGGATAAAATTTCAAATGCTACCTGAATCATATACGTGCCACGTTCCCAACCAACACGGCGTTCCTCTTTCCCTCCACCCCATCCGGGTTTCTGTTTATAAATGTTGCTTTGTAATTAAGTGCGAGTCTGTTTGCCAACGCTCAAAGACGCATAACGAGAAGGTCTTACTCGCAATACATTTAACCATAATGGTATGTAAATAACTCCACCTCTGGCCCGATATGTAATAAATTGGGACATACATTAGACGAAACCGAATGCAGAAACATATAAGCGTGGGAGGACGGAGCATACACGTAATTTGGGGATGGTAAAGCGTCTCGCGTCCTTTTAGAATTCGCCGTTTGAATAACGGAAGTACTCCAATTAGTCCCGGCTTAACCGCTGGAATTTAGCTCGTATAATGGTGGCTGTCAAAAGAAAATGGTGTTGAGTGTGTAGCAAACTAGGTTTGGGTATAGCTGTTATAAGTTTTTAGCACAGAGCGTCCTATACCTCAGCTGGCTTAATTTGACAAATTGCTGTTTATTTGGTGTTACTGTGGTTTTCATTTATATCAGTTTACAGGTGTTCAAATGGCCAACGCGTGTAGCAATCCATATTGTTTTAGTTTATGGCGCAGCAAGACAAAATGCGTTAGCAGCATCTCGCTTATACAAGCTGGGGCGCAACACTTTATCGGTAATAATACGGTTTCCCCAGAACACCAATCTGAAATTCTTTTTTTAATTAAATAAACAGGCCAGTTATAATTCGTTTTTTTTAATTGCATTTAATTTTCTGGACACGGTTTAAGTGGAATCTGATTCGAACGCTTAGGAAGATCAACGGAGGCTAGCCTCTCCTATACAGTTAATGAAACTAGATGGCTAAGTCACAGCGAATCGGACTTTCTAGTGCTTATGTACAAGGTTTTTGATGGCTTATAAGACGCAGAATGGTCGAATACGGCAACACCGCTTTATTTGAATTTAGTTTTAAGGTTACTAGTTTACGAGAAGGTGTTTGTGAAGTGTCTATTGTATACTGTAAGTGTGTAATGTTGTAAAGTAATTATTAATGCATTATTTAGTGACGGTAGAGTGTATTTTTGTGTTTTTATTTTCAAGCTTCAGTATGACATTATTAAAAAAGATTATTCAAACGTTAGAAAAAGTACTTTAATTCAATTTAGCCTAACATCTCAATGAAACGAAATATTTTATCGCTATTTTTAGAAGAGTACGTATATTATATCAGCAAGAAAAGGATATTGCCTTGACTATTCCCCGAATTATCACCCTAATCGCGGTTCGCGAGCTTACAAAGGGTGACGAGACTCCTCTTCAACACCTTTTTTGCCCTCAGAGTGAAAATTAATACATCTACGACTTTTTGCCGCCCCCCAATTATTAAGAGATTACCGAAATTTCCATAACGGGCACATCCGCCTCAGCAGGCACCATCTGCCTCACGCAATATCCAAACACACACACACAACACACACGCCGGCCTCTGTTTTCCACCGACTATTCCTGCCCATTGTTTGCGTCTAGGGAGGATGTTCCGGTCTCGGTAAATCCGACCTAATTAGGGGCGTGCAAAAACAAACCATATCCGACCCCCGGGACCTGGAGGCCTAATTGCCGGCAGGTGGCGCCCCCCGGCGACGGACCCGCATACTAATCGGGCGGCTCCGCCCGTGCATTAGACGCTAGGGAAGTTTCTACGGCGTTAATATAGAAAGTTATTGTTGCTGATCAAATATAGACTAGGAGTTAAGAAAAGTTATCTTCATACGATACCGACGAGGACGGTCTATTTTGAAACTTCATTGCATATCCAAGGAATTGAACCGAGCGCTCTGAGCAGTGTCTAGTAAAGAACTGATTATATTTCGTAGGCATTTTCCCAATGATGAGACAAATATAAAATGTATTTTTATGACCCATACCATGGTAGCGCAGTCGGTCGAGAGTGCGGTGGCAAGCATTTCTCGGCTAGGCTTCCTACTCTGGTCTGGGTTCTATCCCCGGTTTCGGCACTGACAATGTCGATGGATAATGGGTGTTTGTCCGCGTTTTTTCAAGTGTAGCCCCCTTCCGCACAAAAGCCTTTGGCTTTTGGATTTGGGGGTTGTCTCATTTCTGTGGTGTGTTTTATGTTTTTTTTATACTGTTAGATGATCTAAAAACAATCCAATTTCTTGATGCGCCATTAAAATGTGACAGAATTTTTTAACCCGCTGGCGGACTTAAAAAATTATTACTTTATTTTATGTGGAATTTAATTCTACAACTTTTCTTACTCTGGTTAGTTTTCAAAAAACTGTCGTTTTCAACAAAAACACGAATAACTAATAGTACAGTCATTGAAGCTGAAAATCAGCTGTATCCTCCAAATTCTTTGAAACTGCATGGATTTGCATGAAAATTTAGAATAAGGCTCATCTTAGGCTCAAGTTCAAAAGTGACATAAGCCCGATTGACGCTTTTTGTTTTTTAGGGGTAAAAACTACCCCTAAATGAAAAAAATTGAAAAAATTAAATTTTAAGCATTTTATTGATAAAAATCTTGTTCGGGCACAAAATTAAATAATGTTCCATGTTCTCGAACATGTTTTATGATATATTTGATCTTTTCGACCCTTTATTTAACCCTTAAAAATTGCAAAAAATAATGATAAAAAATTACTTTTTAAAGATTTGGAATGATTAAATCGTGCAATTATTTAAAATAAAAATTACTTTGTAGCTAATAAAAGAATTTTTCCCTTTCAACCCCCAAAAACCACCCTTGTATTGACAAAAATTATAAAAAACTACTTTTTAGAAGCTTGGAATGCTTTAACGGTGCAATTATTTAAAATAAAAATTTCCTCATTTCTTATGAAAGAATTTGTATCTCATAACACTTTTCAACCCTTATAAATCACCCCTGTGCTAAAAAAAAATGATAAAAAATTACGTTTTAAATCTTGAAATGCTATAATTGTGCAATAATTTAAAATAAAAATTCCCTTATATTTTTTTGAAAGAATATTTTACTTTTGC